TTGGCCCGAATAAAACACTAAACATACAAGAAAAAGGGGCCAAGGGAATATAGTCTGCGCACAAAACGTAATACTCCAAGTCCTTTGAATCAAACGTGGGTTCCAGAGAAGAGGAGCTTCGCCGATCTGAGAATAGACGCTGTTGGAGGTATTGGTCCTACCAAGGCCTCCCTTCCACTTTATTTGTTGAGGCTTGCACACTCTAATTTTACTCTCTCTTGGATACCTATTCTTTGGTATATATCCTGATCAAATATATACCTATTAGAGTTGACTTTCCAGTTGGCTGGCCCCTTTGATTGCTGTCCGCTGCATCCATCTTTTGTCTTGGCCTATACATGTGACTCTCCTTTGTATTGGTAGCATGTGATTGTCTTTTGTCTAGCATCACCCGTGACTCCCTTGGCAGCCTATTTGAAGTCCTTGCTTCTTCCCTTGTTGAAGCAGCCTGCGTGAATTTAGTATCCCAGAGAGCAGAGCTCCCTTTCTTCCTCCTTTGTGTGAGAATAGATAGGTCCTTAGTGGAGAGTAATACTTGGGTGTGCTATAGCTTCCTCTTAGTGTGGTGTGTGAGAGTGTGTGTTGTAAGACCTGAGCCGGAGACGGAATCCGATCCTTACAGACGCCAGAAGGGAGATGCGAGGATCGATGTAGCAGCGCAGCTTGAAGAGTATTGACACGAAAAGGGGTAACTCGTCTTTGTCTTCGAAGTAAGCCTTTTTTGCTTTAGGAAAGTGGGTATTCTTGAGTCTGCTAAGGAGTTGTGGGAGAAATTGGAAAGTTTATTAGAGAAATTCTTTAGGTTTAGGCTTGACCTGACTAAGGATATAGATGAGAACCTGGATGTGTTTAATAAACTGATACAGAATATCAAACAGGCAGGTGATAAACACATAGATGATTACACTCCCATAGTATTACTTAATGCCATTCCCGACTCTTATAATGATGTTAAGTCCGCTATTAAGTATGGTAGGGATGAGATTTCGTTAGACATTGTTGTGAATGGATTAAGGAGTAAGGAATTAGACCTGAAGCATGCTAGGGGTAGTGCTAGTCAGTCCAGGGACTCCGGTGAGGCTATGTTTGTTAGGGGTAGATCTAAGGGTAGGTCTAAGAACTCTAAGCAAAATAGTCAGGGTAAGAACACTAATCAGCCTGGGAGGAAGAGGAGTAAATCTAGGAAGAGAGTGTGTTATAATTGTGGTAACGCTGGCCATTTCATTAAGGATTGCCCCCACCCTAAGAAGACCGAGCATGCTAGTGTAGCTGTTGATAAATGTGACCTTGGTGATATCTTGATGGTTTGTGACCATGTTAATTCTGTGAGAAATTCCCTGTCTGAGCATGAATGGTTGATTGACTCTGGTTGTACCTATCACATGTCCCCCTTTAGAGATTTGTTTTCTACTTATGAATTATGTGATAGTGGCTACGTTTCCTTAGCTGATAATAAGAGATGCAATGTGCTTGGTGTTGGTGATATATGTCTGAAGTTTTCTTGTGGCTCTGTGTTTACCATTAAGAATGTGAGGCATGTCCCTGATTTGTGTCATAACTTGTTATCTGTTGCTGCTTTGGAGAGTAGTGGGTAACAGGGAAAATGGGGGAATGGTTGTATGAAAATCCTGAAAAACTCGCTTGTTTTGTTTAAAGCTGAGAAGGTGAATAACCTTTATGTGTGTCATGCTAAACCTTTTGCTGAGTCTGTGAATGTTGTATGTTCTGATAAGACCTCTTTGTGGCATAATAGGCTAGGACATATGAGCAATAAGGGTTTAGATGTCATGCGTAAGGCTGGTTATTTTGGTAAGGACTCTGTGACTTCTGTGCCTTTCTGTGAATCATGTGTGTTAGGCAAGCAGCATAGAGTCAGTTTTCCTCCTTCCTCTTACCCTAATCTGTCTAAATGTTCGTCTGTGCTTGAATATGTTCATGCCGATGTTTGGGGTCCTGCCAGTGTTCCTACCCACGGGGGTAGGAAATACTTCCTTTCTATCATCGATGACTTTTCTAGGAAGGTGTGGGTTTGCCTTTTAGAACACAAGTCTGATGTGTTTGTGAGGTTTAGGGAGTGGAAAACCCTAGTTGAAAACCAAACTGGCAGGAAGGTTAAAACCCTTAGGACTGATAACGGGTTAGAGTTTTGTAATAAGGAGATGGATAAGCTGTGTGTGGATTGTGGGATAAAAAGGCACAAAACTGTGCCTTATACTCCCCAACAGAATGGCATAGCAGAGAGAATGAATAGGTCTCTGTTGGATAAGGTTAGAAGCATGTTAGCTACCTCTGGTTTGTCTAAGAAATTCTGGGGTGAAGCAGTCACTACTGCTGCCTATTTGGTTAATAGGTCCCCGTCTATCCCTCTTGGTGGTAAGTGTCCTGAAGCCGTCTTTACCGGTAAGCCTCTTGATCTGTCTAACCTTCGGGTGTTTGGTTGTGCAGTGTATGCACACCAACAGGGTGACAAGTTGGATCCTAGGTCTAAGAAATGTGTCTTCCTAGGTTATCCAGAGGGGGTAAAGGGTTACAGGTTATGGGATAGGAACCAGGTAGGCTTTAAAGTGGTCCTTAGCAGAAATGTGGTGTTTAATGAAACTGATTTTCTTTGCTTGACCGAGTCTGCTTCTAATCCTGAGTCTAGGTCTGATAGTACTCCTAGTGAGGTGGAGTCTGTCCCTGTTGCTGCTAGTCCTTTATCTGTTGATCCTGTTATTTCTGATGATATTGTTATGCATGATTCTGATTCCTCTGAGCATGTTAGTCCCACCACCTCGAGTGAGGTGGAGCATTTGCATGATACTGAGCATGATTTGCATGATATGGGTGCTGAATCTGATTTTCATGATAACAATAATTTGCATGAGTTGCATGTGGAGCCTAGTAGTGATAATTTGCATGATTATCAACTTGCTAGAGATAGGAGTAGAAGGGCTATCAGGAGAACTGCTGATAGTATGCCTGATTATGCTTTCATTGTGCATGATACTTCTATGTTTGCTTTTTCTGTGTTTGAATCCCTAGAGCTGAATGAACCCAAGACCTACCGTGAAGCCTTAGGTTCCAAAGAGTCTCAGAAATGGATTAGTGCCATGAAAAGTGAGATGGACTCTTTGAGAGTGAACCAGACTTGGACCCTTGTACCTAGACCCCCCAACTGTTCGGTAGTTGAGTGTAAGTGGTTGTTTAAGGTTAAGGAAGAACCTAGTGATGTTAGGTTTAAGGTTAGGTTGGTTGCGAAGGGGTTTACTCAAAAAGAGGGGGTAGATTATGCAGAAATCTTTGCTCCTGTTGTTAAATTCACCACTATTCGTATGATGCTTGCTTTAGTTGCTCACCATGACTGGGAAATGAAACAGATGGATGTAACTACTGCATTTTTTGCATGGTGAATTGGATAAAACAATTTATCTGACCCAGCCTGAGGGCTTTGTGGATCCCAAGAGAAGTGAGCATGTCTGTTTGCTTAGGAAGGCTTTGTATGGCCTGAAGCAATCCCCTAGGCAGTGGAACATCAAATTTGATAAATGCATGATATCTTTGAAGTTCCAAAAATCTGTTTGTGATCATTGCCTGTATTTCAAAAATACTTCTTCTGTGCCTGTATTTTTGTTACTCTATGTGGATGACATGCTGATAATTAATCCTTCTCTGAATACTATTAAAGATGTGCAGAAATGTCTTTGTGCGAATTTTGCCATGAAAGACCTAGGTGATGCCAAGAGGATCCTAGGCATAAACATTGTTAGGGATAGGAGTAAGCGTACTCTTACTTTGAATCAGATTTCTTACATAGAAAAAGTTTTGAGTAAATTCAATATGTTATCTGCTTCTCCTGTTAATGTCCCTATGGCATCTCACTTTGTGTTAAGTAAGGACCAGTCTCCCAAGACTGCTCCTGAAATTGAGAAAATGAAATCTGTGCCTTATTCCAGCGCAATAGGGTCGGTGATGTATCTTATGGTTAGCACTAGACCTGATATTGCATATGCGGTTAGTTGCTTGAGTAGATATATGTCCAACCCTGGTTTGCCCCATTGGAATGCTCTTAAGTGGTTGCTTAGATATCTGATTTCTACTGAGAAGCATGGATTAATTTTCTCTAAATGTGCTAGTGGTATTGAATTGATTGGTTATGTTGATTCTAACTATGCAAATGATAGAGATAACAGGAAGTCGACCACTTCTTATGTTTTTACTTTGTGTGGCTCTTGCATTAGTTGGAAGTCTCAACTACAGCCTATTGTGGCCCTTTCTACCACTGAGTCCGAGTATGTTGCAGCCACAAAAGCGTTTAAGGAAGCCATCTGGCTCAAACGCCTTGTCTCCGAAATTGGGTTTCTCAAAAAGGGAGTTACCATTTTCTCGGATAGCCAATCGGCTATCCAACTTTGCAAAAATCCTGTTTTTCATGATAGAACTAAGCATATTGATGTTAGGTTCCATTTCATACGTGATATTGTTGATGCGGGTGGAGTCAAGCTGTGCAAGATCCCGTCCGAGTTTAACCCCGCGGATATGGGTACCAAGTGTCTTTCTGCTGAGAAGCACTTGTCCTGTAAACGCGTGTTAAACTTTGACTGTGGATAACTGTGGGTTGCCTAATAAAGTGTTTGCCCGTTGTGTCTGTTGATATTCCGGGTGACCCGGCGATGATGAGTCTTGTCACAACTTTGTTTTGTTACTCTACACCACCTAGGACCAATAAGGTGGAGAATGTTGGAGGTATTGGTCCTACCAAGGCCTCCCTTCCACTTTATTTGTTGAGGCTTGCACACTCTAATTTTACTCTCTCTTGGATACCTATTCTTTGGTATATATCCTGATCAAATATATACCTATTAGAGTTGACTTTCCCAGTTGGCTGGCCCCTTTGATTGTTGTCCGCTGCATCCATCTTTTGTCTTGGCCTATACATGTGACTCTCCTTTGTATTGGTAGCATGTGATTGTCTTTTGTCTAGCATCACCCGTGACTCCCTTGGCAGCCTATTTGAAGTCCTTGCTTCTTCCCTTGTTGAAGCAGCCTGCGTGAGTTTAGTATCCCAGAGAGCAGAGCTCCCTTTCTTCCTCCTTTGTGTGAGAATAGATAGGTCCTTAGTGGAGAGTAATACTTGGGTGTGCTATAGCTTCCTCTTAGTGTGGTGTGTGAGAGTGTGTGTTGTAAGACCTGAGCCGGAGACGGAATCCGATCCTTACAGACGCCAGAAGGGAGATGCGAGGATCGATGTAGCAGCGCAGCTTGAAGAGTATTGACACGAAAAGGGGTAACTCGTCTTTGTCTTCGAAGTAAGCCTTTTTTGCTTTATAGGGGGGAGTATTGACAGAATACGAGTGTTAATAGGTTGCATGTTTAGGGGCTGCAAATAATAATTCATTGGTTGTCAATTTAGTGTAGATTCATTTCAGGAATCAAACCGAAATGAGAAAATTCCAAACTCAACCGAATTTTCAGTTTGTCAAATTCTTTAAACCCCAACCGAATCGAATATTAGTGAAACCCAATTTTTCAGAAACCGAAGATTCAGGTCGGTTATTCGTTTTGATAAAAAACTGAATGCTTTTCAAAATTCTTGACTAAGGCGTAGCAATGAAGCAAGCCTTGGCTGCCTACTTCGACCCTCAATAGAAAGGGTGAATATATATAGGGATGTAGAGGAGTAAATTTCCGATGTGGGAACTTTACAAAGGCTTTAGAAAAATTGAATGAAAAAACTGGCAGCATGGGGGAACCAGACTTGGGTGAAAAATTAGTACATGCAAAGAGAACTCTTTGCCTATCCATTGAGCCGCAAAACTAAGTTGTAAACATTAGGACTTCAAATTATCTTATTACTTAACTAGATTTCAAGCTCGTGCGATGCACGGGAAGTACATAATTTAGCTAATTTGATTTTCTCGGAATCATATAAAATGTGATGCAAAAGCAAAATAAACTCAGTCTAAATATAGTGTTTGTTTGATAATACTAAAATTGGCGGAATTGACTCATTTTACTGAAATTGATTAAATTTTGGCTGAATGGACTGAATATGCGTAATCTCTTGAATTATGAAAGAAGTAAATTTTTTTATTTTTGGAATGGCGATGGGGTAGGGTCCGGGTAAGGTAGGGTAGGGGTAGATGGAGATAGGGTGGGGTCGGCGTCAGGGTAGGACCAAGGTAGGGGGTAAGGTAGGTGGGTCAGGGTAAGGTAGGGTAGGGTAGGGTGGGGTCAGGTTCAGGTTAGGGTGGGGCCGAGGTAGGGTTGACATGTGGTAAGGGTGGGGGGGTGGGGTCGGGGTAAGGTAGGTAGGGGTTAGAATAGGGTGGGGGCGGATCAAGGTGGGGCCGATGTAGGGGTAGGGTAGGTGGGTCGGGTGGGGTCGAGGTGGTAGGGGTGGAAATAGCTATGGATCAGGGTGCAGTGGAGGTGGGGGCATGTGGTAGGGGATGGGGTAGGGTCGTTGTAGGGAAAAGGGGTATAGGTGGGGTGGGGTAATGGTCGGGGGTAGGGTTAAGGGGGTAAGGTACGAGGATGGAGGTAGTGGGGTAGGGTGGGGTCGGGGTAGTAGGGTTGGGCGGGGTAGGGGGTAGCAGGTAGAGGGGGGGTAACAATAGGGTAAGGATAAGGGGTAAATTCGAAAACTGAAAAAGTTTAAAGTGCCGCTTAATTTAATATATGGGGGGTGGTATGCTTAGTAAGTGGCACTTTAAGCACCTCTTTCGGTTAGTAAGCGACTTTTTATGCAGCGTGCGATCCACGGGCATTACATAATTTAGCTAATTTTAAATTTGATTTTCTTGGAATCATATAAAACATGATGCAAAAGCAATATAAACACGGTCTAAATATAGTGTTCGTTTGATAATACTAAAATTGGCAGAATCGACTCATTTTAGTGAAATTGATTAAATTCTGGCTGAATGGACTGAATATGCGTAATCTCTTGAATTATGAAAAAAGTAAATTTTTTATTTTTGGGATGGCAACAGGGTAGGGTCGGGGTAAGGTTGGGTATGCGGCGATAGGGGTGGGGTCGGCGTCGGGGTAGGGCCGAGGTAGGGGTAAGGGGGTAGGGTAGGTGGGTCGGGGTAAGGTAGGGTAGGGTAGGGTCAGGTTCGGGGTAGGGTGGGGCCGAGGTAGGGTTGACATGTGGTAGGGGTGGGGGGGTGGTGTCAGGGTTGGGGTAAGGTATAGTAGGGTAGGAGTTAGAATAGGGTGGGGTCGGGATCGAGGTGGGGCTGAGGTAGGGGGTAGGGTAGGTGGGTCGGGTGGGGTCGAGGTTGTAGGGGTGGCAATAGCTATGGATCAGGGTGCGGCCGAGGTGGGGGCATGTGGTAGGGGTGGGGTAATGGTCGGGGGTAGGGTTAAGGGGGTAAGGTATGAGGATGGATGTAGTGGGTAGGGTGGGGTTGGGGTAGTAGGGTTGGGCGGGGGTAGCGGGTAGAGGGGGTAACAATAGGGTAAGGGTAAGGGGTAAATTCGGAAACTGAAAAAGCTTAAAGTGCCGCTTAATTTAATATATGGGGGGTGATATGCTTAGTAAACAGCACTTTAAGCACCTCTTTCGGTTAGTAAGCGAATTTTTGCGTGCGTGTTTACTTCACCGTCTTACTAAGCTAATTGTGTCTTTAGCAGCGAAGTACCTCCTAAGGGTATTCCGTAAAACGTTTCAAGTGTTTCAATTTTCTGAAAACAAATTTCAGTTTTTCTCAAATAATGCTGAAATTTCAATTGTTTTTTATAATTAGTATTTGATAATTTTATTAGTGTCTTGAGTTTATGTTGAATGAATGTTTAGTTGTTACTTTACATTTAATAAATTGTTTTTAATTGTCCACTTCTTGGATTATGGACAATTTTGTGATTTTTTTCATGAACTATAGACCTATGATTATGGTCTTATGGATTATAAATTGTTTCTATGATTTTATGTTTTACTACTTGATTAGTATTGTTGGATAAAAGTGTTACATGTAGACATTTAGATATAAACATATTATGGGTTTATTATTGTACCTATGTCGACTTATCGCCACGATGTCGCCACGACGGTTTGAACCGATTTTAAACTTCAAAAACCTTTTTTTGAACCAATTTTTGTCCGGGTCCCAACTTTTGGGTCCCCTTCAAGTCGGTTCGCTTTCGGTTTGATTTTTTTATTGTCGAGTTCGGTTTTTTTGGTTCGGTTTTTGATGCCAACCCTAAATTGAATCAGCCTATATATGATCCTTTTTGAGTCTAGACTATTTCTCTCTTATCGGTTTAAATGAGCTCAGCCCAACCCACTAATACTTAAATTACTATTATCAGTTTATGAAAAATTACTATTAACAGTTTATTTTGGAGTTGATTAGGATTCCTAGTTTGCGAATTAGTAGATGATATGTAAACCCCTTGTTACGGTTCCACGGGTTCACTGGCCTGACTTGAATCAACTCCTTGAATAAATATACATAAGATACCCGCCATCATCTTTCCTTTGAAACATCCAATTTCTATTTATCATACTCATTGATGTATCTATGAGATCACATAAAAGTAAGTTATTATATAACTTTAAATAATTTATCTATGTAAACTTTAATTGACCATGACTAGGTATATTTTAGATTACTTCTACATTAGTAAAAAAGGTATTAGAAGTTCCATTAGGTGACCCACTTTTCATGATCATTTCTATATAGAAAAAATTGAAAAATTAGAAAAAAGTTTATAGAGAAACGAATAAACAACTGTAAAAAAAGGACGCTCCCATCACAAAGAGTAAGCATCAGGGTGCCCAAACCATCACGGGGTGTAAAATACAACTATTATAAATGCTAACTTATATATGCATTTATAACACGTAATATTGTTTATCATGAGAATGAGAGTAAACACATACTTTAAAAATTATGAATCATGTGTTAAATTACTAAAATCGTTAAAAAAACAAGTGATTTCTGAAATACTACATATGAATCATAGTGTTAAATTACTAATCTATTAAATTAGATTTCTGATTTTAAGATTAACAGTCCCAGGATAGACACGGAAACCGACGTGCAAGAGGACTAGGGCAGTATAACCTAGAGACGAGAGAACCAGAGAAGTACAAACTCGCTGACTCGGAGTCGGATTATCAAAACAGCAGAGGCAAAGAAGAGTGACAGAGGCGAGAGATGAGAGCAAACGAAGACTTCCGATAATCGGAATTTGATTTCTTAGTCGAAGAGTCGTCATTGTTCTTGGATAAATTGCATTCCCTTATACCATTCGAGGCGTCTGTTGAGCTAGAAACCAGGAGTGACGTCCGCCCTCCCGTCTTCCGCGTCCATTTAGCGTATGAGGCGTCCCGCGTCTGTATTATCATATTTCTAAATTCTAATTTTCTATATCTACTTACTTAATCTGTTTTTTTTTTTTATTATTAGTACTAATAAAGTAGAGACACTTAAATTCAAATTAATTTCTACTTAAATTGCAGATGGTACAATTACTAAAATTGATAATTTTCGGTTTTTTCACATGATTATTTATAATAAATTTGCTTGGCTATATTCTATAATTATTTGTAATCTAAAGCATGTAGTGTAGATAACTATTCCTCTTTATCTACTTCAACTAGTTATCAATGCGCATCCTTCGTCCAAGTTATAACTATTCCTCTTGAGAGCAGACTACATCCATGGCGATCGTCGGCTTCCTCCTAGAAGACCACATCGGGGAAAATCTTCAATATATGTCTGCCCTTGTCACAAATCAGACCGCCGTTTTCCAACATTGCCTGAAAACAAAATGAGCCGGAGAAGAAGATTGCCGGAGAAGAAGATCACCGGTGAATAAAAGGGCTGCTCACGTCCTGCACTCCGGCCACCTAAAGGAGGAGTGCTGCCGTAACACAAGGGGCTGCCGGACAGGGCAAGATGGTTTTCCCGTTTGGGTACTATTGCATCTGGGTGCTGCGTTGTCGGAAGGACCCAAGGAGTGCCCTTCACTTTTGAAGAGCTACTGAAGCGCTGCGCAATATTATACCGAGTAATTGTTTACGGCAAAAAATTACTGTAAAACAAATGTTTTGCTGAGTTGGCTGTTAGATTGCCTTGCTGAAAGTAGAAGGCCGGGTAGAAGGTGTCTTGATTTTTCTATTCCAACTCAGCACCACATCCAATATCCATATTTCCATTGGAGAAGATAATTTTACCTAATTATGGTGTGGCAATGCATTTATAAGCAATTCATTGTTCCACAAAAGATGCTCTTATAGATCCCTCTACTTACATATGAGATCCTCCACTCTCCCTTCCCGATGTTGATGTTATTTAACTGTATGTTACTTTAACTATTGTACTCTATTCACTCCCCATTAATCTATGTAGCCCATGTGGGAATATTTGTGGAAAACCTAGCGAAGTAGGGGTTGAGTTAGTGTATCTGTCCGGGCTACTATTGGAGTACCTTTTCCCATTATTTCAAAAGAACCAGTCTCATTGTACATACAACAAAAAGAGAGGGCCCAAAAAATTTAGTAATAGTATTAGGAGTATCTCATGTAAGGAGATATCGATCAGCGATATGTTCCGTTACTTGGGCTCCATAATTCAGAAGGCTGGTGGAGTTAGATGGAGATGTATCCCATAGAATCAGAACAATGTGGATGAAGTGGAAGAGTGGCGTCAGGATTTCTATGCGATAGAGGTATGCCGACTAGACTGAAGGATAAGTTTTATAGGATGGTAATTATGCCTGATGGCATAAACCGTATCATCAAAATTATAGGAAACAAATCAGGAAAATTATAAAGAATATAATTAATTAAACAGCCCAGAACCAACCCATGAAGGTGGGCACAAACCCGTCTTGTCTTCATTAAACTCACGGGGCCTCTGCCTCTCTTCCTCCAAGCCAAGCCCCCCTGCTTTCTATTGATTCATAAAGTAAACATGTGTGGAGGAAGTTAATGATTTTCCAGGAATATATAGCTTGTGGGGATACAAGATTATGGTGACATTTATGCTGTTTTTTATGTGTATGAACTGAAACTGTAATAATGTTGACATTATATAGCATGTCCTGATTCCTCACTTTTGTTTTATTTTAGCATTATGTATATTAAGTTATAACATTTGGTTCTTAAAGGATAATTCAAAATGTGATGAGATGGAACATGAAAATGTCCAAGACAAAATGGGCTGTATGAGACAATATGTGTTTTTTTATTTGATGTAATCTAACTGTTTTAGGCAATGAGTAGACCTTTTTATGTAATACAGAGTATATTTTTGCTAAGACAGACTTGATTATTTTCACTTTCCAGTTATAGTATCTTTGCTATTTTAATGAGAGGATTTATCCATTTGATCTTTTCAACTAATTGAATAATTTTACATTTTCAAGTCGGAGCTGTGAATCCTTAGAACCGGCCCAAATGGAGTCTAAGGTATGATTGAATGTTTTAGAAGTTAAATTCATTTCAAATGATTGAGAATTTGAGATATCTGAATTAACTTGAAAAACATGTGTTTGGGATTTTTTTTGTAGAATATAAAGCGCCAGGAGATGAAATGTGCAATAAGTCTGGGTAGAATTGTGGATTTAAATAAGGATTTGGAGCCTACCAAGAAAGAGTTATTAAGTTCTTCAATTTTCAAGAACTTGATAACTCTCACGCAAAAGCGAGAGTCTAGTGGGACGCTTGTGCGGGAACTATGTGAGGCTTTTAACGGTACATGTTTTGTTTTTAATTCATCTACCACAATGCAATTCTGCAGCTATGAAGTAGCAAAGGTCCTCGGTGTCGAAAATACTGGGACTCTGATTGATAGCTCTGATGTCGTGTCGATCTCTTCATATCCTACCTATCTCTCCCCTCTCATGAAAAAAAAGCATGTGATGGCTTCTGACCTGAAGCAGCTGATTATCAACATGGAAGTTAAAAATAAGCAAGATGAGTTGATTTTTCAAAAATTGTACACCCTTTATATAATCGACCAGTTCCTCCTTCCTAGTACAAACTACAAAATGATTCAATCAAAATTTTTTCACCTAGCTGATGATTTGGAGAAAGTTAATTCTGTCAATTGGTCTCAAGTAGTGCTTAATCATCTGTGTAAGGCTTTGACAGACTCCAAACTCTCTTTGAGTGAGAGTGGTATTCAGCAGCGTGTCTTTAATGGTTGTTCCCCGATTCTGGACATAGTTGTTTTTGAGAGGTGTCCATCCATTTGTCCTGATGCACAGACACAATACAGTCTTCTTCTTGAGAAGTACTGTACTAAAAGGGTGGATCTTTGGCATCTGAAACATTTGACTCCTGATATGGTAAGTTGGCATATGAAAACTTTGAGATATTTTAACATTTGACTGTTGATGAGGTAATATTCTCTTTTTTCCTCAGGTGTTACCTTGTCTCACATGTCAACCTCCACCTCTTTTGTTGCCGACCCCTGTGGAGAATGTCATGAGCTCATTAAACTCGTCAGAAGGGGGTGATGGAGAGGATTTGTCTCGATCTTTGGTCTCCACTTTTGATAGCATGGCCATCAATCAACAAGAAGAGTTGCGGCGGTCAAACAGGCCAAGGAAATTATCTCAGAAGGCAAAGGAGGCAGTGAAGCAGGAGGGTGGGAGCAGGGGCAGGGGAAATTAGATCTATTTCCATGGGTTTGCTTTCGGTTCTTATTATGCATACATCTTTGGTTGCAGGGTGGGCACTGGTCGGTTGCACTTGGTTCCATGGCTATGTATCCAATTAGCTTTGGTTACTTGGAATATTTCGAAAAACTTCAGGGCCAAATAATTTGTGTTTCATTGAAGTTATGGTGTGAATTTATATTGTGTTCAGTAACATTTCTTGCTTGTGGCTGCTCAGTTGCCTATGAACCAGAGGAAAATGCAAATTGCTCACACATTGATGAAATACATGATTACCTGAATCAATGGGGTTGGGCACTTGAGTTTAGTTCACATGTGATGTGATGAAATTTTAACTATATTGTGTGTATGTGTGATTCTACAAAATAATATTAGTAGAATCATGATCCAATTTGTTTTGGTGGGAGCAGGGGCAGCAGAGGAAATTAGATCTGTTTGTTTGGAAAATAGAGTTCATATATTCCAATTTGAAATGTAATAGGTGGTCGGTCACCTTTGAAAAATCATAATCCAATTTGTTAAACCATTTTAAATTTCTTCCAAAATATTGTACTTCATTTCTTGGTAGTTTAAACTACTCTTACGCCGTACCACTGTGCCGGATTCATTTTCAAATTAAATATATATGCATCCACGTCTAATTTAAAACTTAATTAACTAATTATCTTGTATTTTATTTTTGAGAAATTCCCTAAATAGGAGTAAAAATGTTTTGAAGTTCCAAAATAGAATTATCATGTTTTTTATTCCCTGAATAGAAGTTTATTTCTGCCAAGTTTGACATTACTGGGCTTTACATGGCTTTTTTTCCCAAACTTGATAGAATACTCCTATTCAGGGAATAAAGACATGATACTCCTATTATGGAATTTGAAAACATTTTTACTCCTACTTAGGGCAATTTCTATTTGTTTTATACACTTGTTTAGGATGTTTGCATTATCCATTTTAGTGTAGTCATGGACCCGGGCCGGGCCCGGCCGGACGTTTTTTTTTTGGAACGAAGAATTGGAACCGGCCCGGGTACACACCGGTTCCGGGCCGGTTCCAGGCCAGGCTGGTTCATGTTATCTTTTTTTTTTTAAATTTCTTTTGCTTTTCTAATTAACCCCTGACCCTCCCCCCCTCACCCCCACCCCCCAAATCCCCCCAAAACACATAGACCAACCCGGGAGAAACCAAAAAAACTGAAAAAACAAAAAAAAAATGAAATAGGTCGGATCGTTCCACTTTTAGGAGGCCTGAGCCCGGTCCGATTAATTTCGAGGTCGGGTGACCCGGACCGGTCCTATAACTGGATACCGGGCCGGGTTGGGCCCACACAGTACCGGTTCCGGGCTGGGCGGCCCGACCTGAGTCCATGACTATTTTAGTGCTCAAGTCAAATTAGCACATTCCTCTTTAACATACACGGAGTTTCATAAGATTTCTAATTAGAATTTATGTAAGCACACATCTCAGTTTTTTATGTATTTTATCTATTTTTTAATTGATTTTTTAATTAAAAACACTCATGCTATTTACATTATCTTATTATATTTTTGTAAGAAAAATAAAATTAAAAGAGTTATAAGCTATAGCTTATTTTTTGCCCCTACTAGCTTAACCCCTACTAGTTCAACCCCTACTATTTTGAACCCCTACTAGCTTACCCCTACTTACCCAATCCCTACTAATTCGACCCCTACTATTTTGAACCCCTACTAGCTTACCCCTATCAACAATCCCTAGTAGTTCAACCCCTACAATTTTGAACCCTTACTAGCTTACCACTACTAACCCAATCCCTACTAGTTCGACCCCTACTATTTTGAACCCCTATAGCTTACCCCTATTAACTCAATCCCTACTAGCTTAACCCCTACTAGTTCAACCCCTACTATCGTGAACCCCTACTAGCTTAACCCCTACTAGTTCAACCCCTACTATCATGAACCCCTACTAGCTTAACCTCTACTAGTTCAACCCCTATTATCGTGAACCCCTACTAGTTTAACCCCTACTATTTTGAACCCCTACTAACCCAATCCCTACTAATTCGACCCCTACTATTTTCAACCCCTACTAAACTAATCCCTACTAATTAAACCCCTAAACCCCTACTAGCTTAACCCCTACTAGTTCAACCCCTACTATCGTGAACCCCTACTAGTTCAACCCTTACTATTTTGAACCCCTACTAGCTTACCCCTACTAACTCAATCCCTACTAATTCGACCCCTACTATTTTGAACCCCTACTAAACTAATCCCTACTAGTTTAACCCCTACTAACTCAATCCCTACTAATTAAACCCCTACTATCCTGAACCCCTACTAGCTTAACCCCTACTAGTTCAACCCCTACTATCATGAACCCCTACTAGCTTAACCCCTACTAGTTCAACCCCTACTATTTCGAACCCCTACTAGCTTACCCCTACTAACCCAATCCCTACTAATTTGACCCCTACTATTTTGAACTCCTACTAAACTAATCCCTACTAGTTTAACCCCTACTAACTCAATCCCTACTATCGTGAACCCCTACTAGCTTAACCCCTACTAGTTCAACCCCTACTATTTTGAACCCCTACTAGCTTACCCCTACTAACCCAATCCCTACTAATTCGACCCCTACTATTTTGAACCCCTACTAGGTTACCCCTACCAACAATCCCTACTAGTTCAACCCCTACTATTTTGAACCCCTACTAGCTTACCCCTACTGACCCAACCCCTACTAATTCGACCCCTACTATTTTGAACCCCTACTAGTTTACCCCTATTAACTGAATCCCTACTAGCTTAACCCCTACTAGTTCAACCCCTACTATCGTGAACCCCTACTAGCTTAACCCCTAATAGTTCAACCGCTACTATCGTGAACCCCTACTAGCTTAACCCCTACTAGTTCAACCCCTACTATCGTGAACCCCTACTAGCTTAACCCCTACTAGTTCAACCCCTACTATTTTGAACCCCTACTAACCCAATCCCTACTAATTCGACCCCTACTATTTTCAACCCCTACTAAACTAATCCCTACTAATTAAACCCCTACTAGTTCAACCCCTACTATCGTGAACCCCTACTAGTTCAACCTCTACTATTTTGAACCCCTACTAGCTTACCCCTACTAACTCAATCCCTACTAATTCGACCCCTACTACTTTGAACCCCTACTAAACTAATCCCTACTAATTAAACCCCTACTATCGTGAACCCCTACTAGCTTAACTCCTACTAGTTCAACCCCTACTATTTTGAACCCCTACTAGCTTTACCCTACTAACCCAATCCCTACTAATTCGACCCCTACTAATAGGGGTTGAACTAGTAGGGGTTAAACTAGTAGGGGTTTGAAATAGTAGGGGTTGAACTATTAGGGGTTAAGCTAGTAGGGGTTCACGATAGTAGGGCTTGAACTTGTAGGGGTTAAGCTAGTAGGGGTTCACGATAGTAGGGGTTTAATTAGTAGGGATTGAGTTAGTAGTTGTTAAACTAGTAGGGATTAGTTTAGTAGGGGTTCAAAATAATAGGGGTCGAATTAGTAGAGATTGAGTTAGTAGGGGTAAGTTAGTAGGGGTTCAAAATAGTAGTGGTTGAACTAGTAGGGATTCACGATAGTAGGGGTTGAACTAGTAGGGGTTAAGCTAGTAGGGGTTTAGGGGTTGAATTAGTAGGGATTAGTTTAGTAGGGGTTGAAAATAGTAGGGGTCGAATTAGTAGGGATTGGGTTAGTAGGGGTTCAAAATAGTAGGGGTTGAACTAGTAGGGGTTAAGCTAGTAGGGGTTCACGATAGTAGGGGTTGAACTAGTAGGGGTTAAGCTAGTAGGGGTTCACGATAGTAGGGGTTGAACTAGTAGGGGTTAAGCTAGTAGGGGTTGGTTGAACTAGTAGGGGTTAAGCTAGTAGGGATTGAGTTAATAGGGGTAAGCTAGTAGGGGTTCAAAATAGTAGGGGTCGAATTAGTAGGGATTGGGTTAGTAGGGGTAAGCTAGTAGGGGTTCAAAATAGTAGGGGTTGAACTACTAGGGATTGTTGGTAGGGGTAAGCTAGTAGGGGTTCAAAATAGTAGGGGTCGAATTAGTAGGGATTGGGTTAGTAGGGGTAAGCTAGTATGGGTTCAAAATAGTAGGGGTTGAACTAGTAGGGGTTAAGCTAGTAGGGGTTCACGATAGTAGGGTTTTAATTAGTAGGGGTTAAACTAGTAGGGATTAGTTTAGTAGGGGTTCAAAATAGTAGGGGTCGAATTAGTAGGGATTGAGTTAGTAGGGGTAAGCTAGTAGGGGTTCAAAATAGTAGGGGTTGAACTAGTAGGGGTTAAGCTAGTAGGGGTTTAGGGGTTTAATTAGTAGGGATTAGTTTAGTAGGGGTTTAAAATAGTAGGGGTCGAATTAGTAGGGATTGGGTTAGTAGGGGTTCAAAATAGTAGGGGTTGAACTAGTAGGGGTTAAGCTAGTAGGGGTTCACGATAGTAGGGGTTGAACTAGTAGGGGTTAAGCTAGTAGGGGTTCACGATAGTAGGGGTTGAACTAGTAGAAGTTAATCTAGTAGGGGTTCACGATAGTAGGGGTTGAACTAGTAGGGGTTAAGCTAGTAGGGATTGAGTTAATAGGGGTAAGCTAGTAGGGGTTCAAAATAGTAGGGGTCGAATTAGTAGGGATTGGGTTAGTAGGGGTAAGCTAGTAGGGGTTCAAAATAGTAGGGGTTGAACTAGTAGGGATTGTTGGTAGGGGTAAGCTAGTAGAGGTTCAAAATAGTAGGGGTCGAATTAGTAGGGATTGAGTTAGTAGGGGTAAGCTAGTAGGGGTTCAAAATAGTAATAAACCGTCCTAACATCACTCAAACTAGAAAGTTGTCTCATACTAATAGTCAAGAGGTTAAAGACTTCCGCTGTGCATCTATTAATCTCTTAAAAGATTATAGATCAACTCATCTAGAGGGGAAGAGTTCTTAAAACCCAAAAAGCTTTAAAAGGCTATTTACCCCCCTCCTCTAGACTTTTACCTCTATCAGGGATCAGGGACCATCATTATCTAAGCAATTTGAGAGCATACTACTGTTTGCAAAACGAGTATACAATTTTTTACAATAGAATCTAAACACAAGAGAAGGATGACATCATCAAAACTATTTCTTATAATAGTAGGTTACATCAAAGTCTGAGGGACCTAACAAGAGTGTATGTAATTATATGTTTATTATTATTATATAGACTTATAATCGTTGACCGGTTTTCCGGCTTTGAACGGGTTGACTCTCCGAGTCCGGGTTGACTCGTGACCCAGTCACATGACCGGGTCGCTCACCGGTCTGGTTTTTACAACATAGCAAAATGATGGATAGTTATTATACAATATTTGAGTTAAACGTTTCATACGTAGCTGAGATAAATGGTAGTTTAATGAGCATTTTTCAGTTAATGTATTGATAAATG